TATCACCAGAATATTTTCATTGTAGCGGACAGATGGGTCAAAGAGCAGAGGTACTTACAGGGCTGCAAATAGTTTTTCCCTTGAAAGGACATGTGTCCAACCAAGTCACATCTTTGATTGGACAAAACAAAAGTGCGGTCGGACGTCACATTACAGTACTGCTTGATATGCAAACCTACTAATCTAACGCGACGCATTGTCAACAAAGAAAATTGGCGTTTGCATTGGAAGGCAAAAAAAAAAAATGGCCTGGCATTCTACCAGACTAAAGCTGGATCTCATCAGACATTGGCGAATTTTGGTTGGCCATTGTCTGATCTCTGACTGTTATTTACAGCCCTGTAATGGGTGGGAGGGGGTAAAAGCGGCAGTTTACAGTATCTGAGTTTTGTTTACTGTTATTTATTAGATGTTGCCAAAGAGATTGACCATCAAAAAACATTTAGGCATGGGAAGGGAAAAGAAATTGAAAGTCAGTTTAAAGAGCTATACCAACCCACTCAGCCAGTGCCAGCGTCCAAAGGCAGAAAGGGACGAACGAGTAAGAAGCTCCCGCAGGAAGAGGAAAATAAAGAGCTCAGCTCTTATGCAGGAACCCTAACGAAGGAGTTTCTGATCAAGGTGAGCCTCTTATTAGTTCTTTACTATCCTTTTCCTTCCTTGTCTTTGTTTCTTATCTTTACCTCTTTTTCCCTATTGATGCACTCATCAAATGCAAATGTGTCATCTCTAATCTGTGTGACTGGGCATCAAGATTCATCTACCTCAGTGACCTGAATGGTCTTACAGTGGATGACAAGTTTATGAAGCTCTGCATCGTCAATACATACATGTATGTGTAAGTTTTTAACTTTTAATTGTTTAACAGGTATGCTCTCTGTGGAAGGAGATTGCTGTAGTCACAAGGGACAGGGAAATTGATAAAGGTGAAGAACATCTCATTGACATTTTTGATATAAAGGCATGTCCATTTTAGTTTATCTTACTCCAAGTTCAGTTCATCCCTTAATGAGTTCACTTTACATTTTTATGAATAATTTAAAGCAGTAGAATTCGAGGCTTTTGAGCCTTTCCAGTTTTCATTGACAAACTTTATAAGTAACCCATCATCATTTTTTGAAAGTGCAGGTGATTGACGGGTTGACTGATCTCTTTCAATACACTTCCTTATTTCTTCAATGTTAAACTTGCCTTAGTACTGCAGGTTAAAAACAAAATTCAAATCAATCTGCCAGTATGTAGATCTAAATACTGTCAATGCTGTGAATTTTACAACACTGCTCCTTCAAGTAATTAATATCAATAATAATTGTTGTCATTTGTTTTTAGTGCAAAGAATGGGGGTTTCTTTTATTGGAGTTGTTTGGTACGAGTCTTGGGACAGGGGATTATGGACATCTCACGATAGAGCATGTGCCAATGCTCTTTAGAGTCCACCATTCTCTGCATGACCTCTCAAATCAAGGATTTGAAGCTGCTCACAAGCTGCAGAGACAGTTATATGCCAGAGCAACATCACATGATTCTTCTGGCAACACTTCCTCATGTAAGTTAGTTTTTAATATTTTATCTTAATGCTTGAGTTATATACAGTTGCCTAATGATAACTTGATCCAGCGGGAAAATTATGAAACTTTCAAGGCAATTGAGTGACCAGAGAAAGTGTGACATTTGATATTTCGAGAATTTTCATCTTAATTAAAGTATATTTAGAAATTCAACCCGTCAACCAGGTTTCAAGTTACTAAGATGTTACTGAATATTCCAAATAGGAAATGGTAATAATCCAAAAATTATGATGATAGTTGCCTCATTATATTACGCTTTAATTAACAATATGTACATAGCCAACTAGGCGTGTATATAGGCACTAGGTGTACATATACGTAATGTGTTGAATATATATCTGTTTTAGTGGATCAAATTCTTGCCCACTTATTCACTGAGAAGTTCCTTGACATGAGGCTTTCCTTTAGAGAGGCTTATCGCTGCATAACTTCAGATATTTATATTCTTTAAGACCTTGCTTTTGTATTTCATGATAATAGCTTGCGTAATTTTGTTTTCCAAATTACAAAAGGTAAAAAGTGAAACTGTGGCCATGGCTTTGGTTTTCTGGATCATGTGTATACCACAACATCCACTGCTGGCAACTGACCCTAGTAATATTATAGTTCAAACCAAAGTTCATTGCATGACAGATGCTACTAACACAAACAACATTATGGGTGTAATCTTTCCCATCTAGGAATAGTTTTACCCCTATCTGCTTTATGCTACAGAAACAATGGGCTAAGCTCCAGTCATGTGAGCTTCCTGCAGTCCAATTGAGATCCTTGACTTAAGTGCACATAACCCCCAAATTTTTCATTCACTGAAATAAATTTACTTGTTATTTAAAACGTTACTGTGAAAACATTTTTGGATTTGGCTCTATTCCTCAATATTCTATGTCCTGTTAAAATCTCAAAAGTAGCACCTAAAATGCCGCCATTTTGTGTCACTGCCGTGTTTTGAGGGGAATGGGTCCAGTGGCTGTTGTGACGTCTACCCAGGAACAAAGGATCTTTCATGTTCATTTTTTCCGCAGAAATGCTTCAAATCACATGTTTATTTATTCAAGGGAAAAAAATTTGGTGGGTTAGGTGCACTTAAATTAATCAAATTTCCGTCTTTATTTTTCTCACACGAGAACCTTTCTGCTACAGAGGCTGTGGCTGGAGACCAAAGAAAATGGGGTGGACAAATGAAGACAAAACCTGGATCAAGAGCATGAATGACCTGTTCAATAACCTGTTTGGTCCAGATTATTGTCAGTATGAGTACAGCGATACTAAGCACTGCATGCTTGTACCAGGCCAGTTACCCATTATTTTGTACAACCATGATGAATGGGAAAAGAATCATGCATCAGTTGCTTGAGAAGAAGTTAAAGTAGACAAAGTCAAAGAAGACAAAGAAGACAAAGAAGTCAAAGTAAGTGAAAGTCTCAGTGTGACACAATCTGCTGATGTGAGTCACCGTGGATGCAAGGAGAGCACTGGAAATGTTAATACTGTCCAAACCAGTGTCTTTGACTTGAATATAGTTAAAAACCTCACTCGTGCTGAAATAGCAGCAATTAGACTCCCTGAAGTGGTGTTCATTGCAGAGAAAGATGTTGTGCTTGTTCAAATGGCAGAACTAGACATGAGTGACCCCACCCTTGCCACTCAGCACCCCTCTGAAGCCACAGTACAGTATGCATTGAGCTTGCTAGCACCTGCAACAGCTACTGGTAACAGTAGTGTGGCAGTTGACAGTGATGAAGAAGGGAATGAAGTGAACGTGACAACTGGTAGACTGAGTACCTACACAAAGAAATCGCTCCAGGTTTTCAAAAAAATGTGCAAAATGAGGAAAAGAGGTGGCTTTCTCAACCTTGTGTTCCAGATGTAACCAAGGTCATAGAACTTCTTCTAAATGCAAGGCCTCATGATGAGGTTATAAGACATGGTCAGTTCATAATGGATGTTTCTGATCTGAGTACATTGGTTTGCGAACGCTACATCAATGGGTTATCTATTGATGTCATTTCTTTGAAGGTAGTTGAGAAAAGTGAGCCCACAAGTGTCATTTACCTTCCCTCCTTCTGTCAGATGTGGGCAAAACAAGGTGTGGAATACTTCAAGCACAAAGTCATCCCCTTCGTTGAAAATTGTCGAGCTAAAGATGCAACCTGCATTTTAACCCCAGTACATTTTGAAAGTCCACTACACTGGGGACTGCTTTGCTTTGATGTTACGACTAAAACAGTCTATTTTGATGACGGTTTGAAAATTCAACCTGCCAGTGGTACCCTGTCTGTTGTTCAAAATATGCTGGGTGGTTTCAAGGCTTTGTCGCACGATGCCATTGGATAAGAGGATCACTGGAACAACTCTTGCTTAAGACTTCCCTTGCCATGATTCAACATGCCAATCCAGACAAAAAGTGGCATTGGTGCTGGTAGCTGTGGAGTCGGTGTTATCCTTGCTATAAGAGATATTGTTGCAACTAGGAACTGCTTTCCCTCCTTGAACTGGGCATTTGGCAACATGGCGCATTTACGGAAAGAGCTAATGGCTCTCATACTTCAGTGGAGAAGTGAAGAGGTATGAGTACTGTGTTTTATTACTGTAGCAATACGGGCCCACTACACAAAATGCTAGAAAATGTCAATGGAAGTAGAATGTCACGTAAATTGTTCCCTAATCCATGAAGGCAGGGCAGCTGATAATTAGAAACATGACAGGTGTTTAATATTTCTGTCAGATTTTTATTTCAGCATTTCCATTTAGAAAGAAAAGAATACAACTAGAGAAATTTCAGTTATAAAATAGCTACAAATGAAATTATTTCATGATATAATTTGATTACCATTAATATCCAATAGAACAAGAACTGTAAAGGGTAATTTCAATTTAAAATGGAGCTAAAAACTGAACATAACATAGATACATCTGTGTACAACATAGCTACATGTAGAATTCATTATAGCTTTGTAGTCTCTTTGGGACTTCCATTATTACGTCACAGGAATTCCTTTTTACAAGTATATAATTTGGATTTTTGACAGGACAAATACTCTGTAGTTTACATTATTATACACTACATGAGATGAGCTTAATATTAATGTATTATTTTTCTTGCCCTTTTCTTTAGCAATGAAGAAGATGGACCATTACGTTCTCAGTGAAAACAAGAAGTAAGCTTTAGATCAGGCTGTTTAATGTACATCTATAGGATGATCTATCATCAATAGAAAGTGACTACAAAATTTAGTTATATTGCCAAGTGTCCTGATAAACACTGCCTTCAAATGAGGCACTCAAAAGTTGCAACACTTTCAGCTAAAAATTTGATGTTTTTCTACAGGGAATATTTTCCCTGGTGTATTTCTGTAATCCAATAGAGAATGTAGTTGTAGAGTAATGGCTTACTGTGCTTTAACCCCTTTTAATCCCTGAGTCTAATTTTCTGTCTTGGTTCTTTTGTGTCTCGGTTTGAATCTCAATTTGAAATTCTAAAATGTTACAATTCAAATGGAATTAGCTACATGTACAGAGCATTACTTTCTTGTGGTGTTGTTTATGAGCAGTACTTTTGTATGGAGTTGTTCTCTTTTTACTACAAAGATTTTTATCTTTTTCAATTTATTTTGATTTTGGTTGATGTTGGTGGTTGCTTTTGGGAGTGAAAGGGTTAAATTAATCAAGAAAACAAATAATGGACAAATGGTTGTCAGAATTTTCATTTCAAAATGTGGATTTTAATTATTAAAATTTACACTTTTCAACAAACATTCTGATGACCATTTGCCCATGTTCTGTGAATGTGTACAAATCTGGCCACCACATTTACTCTATCTCTCGTGTGGCACATCCTTCTCCAAGACCAACTACAAGTCAGAGTAGCTAGATTTCGATGATGGCCTTTTTTTCTGTTGTCTTGGGATATGTGCTCTTTGTTTCGCTCTTAATATTTCCTCTTCTGCAGAAAGTAGTGTTGCTGAATTATTTTCCTCACATGCCACATTTCCTGAATATAGAACCTCTGTGTTGAGATTGACTTGGCTTTCCTCTAGGGCATCAAAGAAACTTTCTGCCTCAAAGATCTTGTACGATATTTGGCGTGTTATACTCTTGTACGCTGGCCGCTGTGCCTTTTGGGACACATCTCTAACTGCATTCACTAGCAGGTTGGCTTTGCCAATCAAGTACTCAAAATACTTTTACGTACTTGATGAGTATCAATTTTAACCCATCTCCCTGGTTTAAGAAAAAAATAGGGAAAATGAATAATCCTCTATATGAAACCATAGAGGATTGGGAGGCTGGAAGGCAAGTGGTTAAGTTAAGCCCCCAATGAATTTAGTGCCATAAATTTAAATGCCAGCTAAAGAAGAATGCTTATTTATTCAATCATTCTCTTTAAATCAAAAATAGAAAGCTGGTCAACTAATATTGTATCCCTTCCTTTCGTTTATAGAGTCATCCTTTGCTTTCAGACCAGTTGCAAGTAGACTAAGAAGCAGCCCTCCAGTCCAAGGAAGACAAAACAGAAAAGGTTCAGTGACAAGAAGACAAAACAGAGAAGGTTCAGTGACAAGAAGACGAGACAGAGAAGGTTCTTTTAGAAGCCCCCGCGGAAAAAAAAAAAAAGGAAAAGAAAAGAAAAGTAAAGAAAAAATTAAAAAAACAATAAAAAATAAAATAAAAACCCTGTAGGTCGAGCATTTGACATCGCACTCTGCAGGTAACAGACAAAACGGCTCCTTTAGGAGCCACCACATATAACAAAAGTTATGATCAACG